CATCAAGATTTCTAAAGATTTCGCAAGGATTTCATCAAGATTTCTAACTATTTCTCAAGACTTTCATTGAGATTTCTGAAGATTTCGCAAGGATTTCATCAAGATTTCTAAAGATTTTTCAAGGATTTCATCAAGGTTTCTAAAGATTTTCCAAGGATTGAATCGAAATTTTGTACAGATTTCATCAGGATACTATCAAAATTTCTAAAGCTTGCACCAGGATGTCATCAAGAGTTAAACGACTTCTACTGTTTCAACTGGGATTATCCCTGAAATTCAACAACGTATATACTACGAACCTTCTTAAAATCGCACAATACTTGTACTAAGATCGTTCCTAATATATAGAACTTAATTAAACAAAATTGCAGAATTCACTTGATATATGAAAGTAGAGACTTCCTTATATAGATCGATATCTGCCAAACAAAACGGTGAATGAAATCTTGGCAAAATCGGATTTCCAGATTTTTGATTTTGCTTTTGAAAATTTGTAAAATAGAAATATCTAATTAATTAATTGATTAGCTGATTGTTCTGTCAGAATATATTCTAACTTATGAATCCGATTACGTGGAAAAAATTACTGTATAAGGAAAACGAATCATTTAACATCGGATGAACCTCGGGAGCATATTAGAAATTTAGCTGAAATATTGATGAAAACGCTTTTATAAGAGATATCTGTTTGTAAAACTGAACGGCAAAAGTTTATTGAACGATTATTCAAAGTATAGATTTCGTCGCTATTCGATTGTTTTTCAAGGAATATGAGAAAAACTTGAATGACAATGGAAAAGAAGAGAGCGATGATATTATTTCTTTTACAGAGCCCTAGCCATTTCGCTGAATCGCGTACATAGTTTACGGAGTATTTCCGATATGTGCCAGTAACTGAGTCCTGTCGGATCTATGCTATCCGACATGAAAAAATCCGATCAATGGAACTTCTGTATTCTTATGTAATCCGATAAGTTTCGATACCAGTGATTGAGCGAATTTATCATGGAATCCAGTGTCATGTGAAACCACAAATTCCGGCCATTTCTTGACATCAGATTCCCCTGAATCCCATCGGAAGCGAACAGATCCTGAGATCGGATCTGACCAGTTGCGAATATATGAATTTAGTCGGAACTCGATGAATCCAATCAGCGGATATCAAAGGAGAACAGTGGATAGCATCGGAATCCGACAAAACGTAACCGACCGAATCTGATTAGCTGTACGTCAATGGATTTAAAACCTGTCCGACAGGATTCGACACAGCTATTTCGGCCTGGGTACTAAATTGATACATTTTCGGATATACTTTTTTTCGAAGCGATTTAATCAAGATCTATGTGTATAGTGAAGATCTTATCAATTTAGGTTCATTAAGTAGGTGTTAATAATTTCAATTACACTAAAAAAAAGCTTCAATATCCATTGTTACATAAAAAAAGTATAAAATCACGAAAATGTCAATGATCAATGTAAATACACTCCTAACAAAAGAAAAAAGATCAAACTACTTCACGCATTTATAGAAGTTTTCAGTAGAGGAAAAACATCATGATTATAAATATTTATCACTACTTTCTATGACGACGATATTAATTTTGAAACATATTCCAAGGATTATGCAATATCAATCATGCTTTGAAACGGCATCTTAACTGTTTCACTTATTCATGGGATAGTTCAATGTTTTATGCGATATGTCACAAACTAAGACATCTATGACACATTTTATATCAGTGTATTCGATATAGTTCAATAGAGTGAACTTACTAGCAGCAAAGTAGTTAAATGTCGCTGATATTGGCTTCGATAAGGAAAAAAGTAGAGATATCCATCGTGACAGCAGCTCGAATTTTAAAAAAAGCTTCTTTCTTTTTGTTTCTTAAGAAATCTACAGTGCGTAAGATATACTTCATTTTCATATTTAGATTAATGAACATCTAGACACTGATCTACCATCATCGATAGTGTAAGAAAAATGCACTTTAATGTTGATCAAGTGATTTTTCATCATCGGAATTTTCTTTATTAAAAAGTCTTGCTCATAAACTGCTTCCAAGTCCTGCTGCATCAATCAGAGACGGAAAAATATTTTAGTTACAGTAGCATCATACTAAATAAAAAAAGAGACAGCTTATCACTAGGTAAAGTGAATAATATGCTTATCGCCAGAAGTGTACTATAACTCCTAACAAATATAACACACAGGTTGATTCAACAGATCAGTAAATAACTTTTTTTGTTCTAAAAATGATTTTTCATAAGTACCAGAAAATAATTAGAAATTGTTAACGTTTATCCAATAGACCGTAACATCTGATAGCTGAATAGAATATTCTATATTATCTCGTTCTAGTTCATCATATAACGTAGAGAAATATAAAGTTATTATTTTATTTAAATTATATCTGTCTCTCATGAATAGTGCCCGGTGTGACCAATTTTTTTGGTCACGGTCACAATCACAGTTACGGTAAGGCCAGTCCGTGACCGTGACCGTGAGTCACGGCCTTCTTTCTGGTTCTTCAACATGAAAAAAAACTTTCCAGAAAGAGCTATTGCAAAGTTTCTGTTTACTATTAAAAGTGATGGTCGAGGGGGGAGAGGATAGCTTCGCGGAGGTGCTTGTACTCCCCCTCAGGGGTTTCTGAAACCACTAATACTAGAAACTTCCCAATTTTTCATAAAAAACGATGCCTGGGACAGGGGGTGGCTTCGAGAAGGTCCCGCTATCGAGGTAACTCTCGACGACACTGTTATCACCTCATCGCCTTAATCACATTATGATCTGTCTTTTTATATGGTGTGATCATCTTTTCATAATCTTTCTACCACGGACAAAATTAACTCAACACGTATTTTTGATAGATATTTTCATTAATGGTCAACCACGAAAAATACAAGTTTTTCAGAAATTTTTTTCATATATAGAACTTTGTAGAGCTCCTTTCGCTGATCATTTTGGTAAAAAAATATTCAAATTTACTCAATAAATAGTGGCATTAGAGTCAAAATACTCAAAACTTAGGACTGTTCGTGACCACTACTGAGTAGTCGGTGATATTTTTGAGTATTCTGAGTCAAGGTTCGTTATTTATCGAGTAAATTTGAATATTTTTTTTATCAAAATGATCAGCAAAACGAGCTCTACAAAGTTCTATAGACGAAAAAGAATTTCTGAAAAACTTATATTTTTCGTCGTCGACCGTCAATGAAAATATCTATCAAAAATACGTGTTGCATTAATTTTGTTCGTGGTAGCTTTATTCTACATATGGCGTGATCATCGTTGTATGTACTATTGTTCGAGATGGTGTGATTCTACTAACATATATATACAAGCTTCTTCTTTTATCGTTGCTGTTGTTGAACCTATACATCTGTCTTTCTCTTCTTAATAAACTATATAACCAGTGCTAATAGGTCCCCCTACTATTCCTCAGTGTTCGGCAAAATTTCGAAAAAGTTCCCGTGACCAAGCTTCCGTCACGGTCACGGCGTGCATTACTCATGAATAACTTATGAAAAGCGATATTCTTTTATTAGTTTTAGTTATTATGAAAAAAATTATAATTTAATTGTCCTTTTAGTAGATTTATCATTGCCTTCGGTATCTATTTACATAAATATTCTACTTGACAATTAATATAAACTCAATAATACATATTTCTTCTGTTTTTTTTCTTTTACAAAGATAGAAATTTTCTGAAGTATGATAGCGATGAATTTCCACATGTGACACATTTCTAAAGCAAAATGCTATACCAAATATAACTCTACTTTGCACAATATCATTTGAAGTTAGCACTTTAATATGATTGATGATAAATTCGCTTCGATAAAAGCTTTGCAATTACGACTTCTAATTCAATAACATAGAAATGAATAATAAATAATTGTCTTAAAATAAGTATCGAAACAAAATCTTGCTTTTGCTATAAATTATAACTTTTTTTTTTTGCAATTTTACGTTAAAAAAAAAAGAAATCAGTTTAAAACTCTTAAATACATCAGATTTTAGAACGTTCGATGTTGATATAACATATCAGAAAAAGAAAAAAAAAAAAAAAGATCCCATTGTCTCAATATTTTTGTTATAATTCACTCCAACCTGTTTTAATAAAAATGTTTCTAGCTGAGCGATTTGGCCGGAACAAAAAAAAAAATAATAATAATAAATATAGAGAAAAGAAGAAATAAAGAAAAACCAACAAAATCTTTTAGCACAAACACTCAAGCGGTAACAAAAAAAAGAACAGAGCAACACACATATATAATAAACGTGCTTATTGCAAAAGAAAAAAAAAACAGAAAGAATTCAAGTTCTATGCATTTCCTTATAAGTGATCGGAATGTTTCGATAGTAAAAAAAAAAAAAAAAAGAAAAAAGAAAACTGATCATTAAGTTTTTTTTTTTTTTTTTTGTATTTTGTTCAAAAGTGAGATCATTTCTATTTACATATATGTAGGATGAAGTAATCACTGTAAACCACACATATTTAATTTTCAAAAGATACAAGAAAAAAGAAAAGTATTGCCACAAAAAAAAGAAAAATAAATTACAAAGATAGAAGAAAAAGAAAAAAAAAATTAATTTTATCGTCGTGTTATCGGTGTTGTTGTATTATTATTTGGTATTAGAAAAGGAAAATTTCGAGTGCTTTGACGCGGCGGTTTTTGACTACTTGTATGAATATTTAATGGTGGATTATTTATTACATAGGGAGGACCATCTCGCCGCTCAGTTTGCGTAATCGTTGATTTTGTTGCCTCGTCATTTTGGTTAACTAAAGCAAAATGAAAAGAAAATTTTTAAATAAAAAAAAAATAAAATAAAAAAATAAAAAAACGAACAACTGTGTTTTTAATTAATTTTATTCCCTTTTCCTTTCGATTGACTAGAACAATACGTTAGTGAAAATTAGAAGTCAATATTTTTATTTAGTTTGATTTTTTTTTTTTTTCTTTTTAGGAATATCATTCTTTTCTTTTCCCACCTTTAAATCCATCAAAGTATAACGACGAACTGAAATATTTGATTTTTATTCCTTAAATATTGCTTTTTTTTGTTTTATTTACCTAATGTTTTTGTAGCTAATGGTGTAAATGATTTAGCAAGAAATTCTTCATATGTTGTTTCTTTTTTATGTGTACGAATTATTGAATTTATTATACGATAACGTTCTTCGTAACTAAATAGTAAAATTAATTTAAGAATTATAATATGAAATTTTATATTAGACACAATAAAAATCTTACAATTCACAATGATTATTAAGTGTTGTACGACGTGCACGACTAGCATTTATAGCTGTTGCACGTACTAATTCTGGAAGTATAAGTTTATCAACAATTGCACCATCAAATAATGGACCAAAATTTGTTGTCTAAAACAGAATATATATATAATTAACAATAAAAAATAGTAATTTAATGATACAATTTAAAATTTTTCAGTATTTATACTTGTTTTAATATTTATTTATATTAGTTAATAATGTTCTAATTGTATTTTATATTCAAAAACTTTTATTTAATAATAAAACGTAAGATGAATAAGTGCTTAGATTGTTTAAAAAAAAAGTATTTGCACAATATTTATGTATCCGAGCTCTGTACAAGAAATCTTTTGATTTTTTGTGAGAAATTTACAAATTGAGCCTAGACTTCGAAATCGATTGAGATATTTTTTTTTAATGAATGGAAATGACTCAGCGTTTCATTTCAGCACTCAAACTGTTAATATAAGTATTTGAGAATAACGAAAAAAAAAGCTCGATACATGTCTACATTAGAATATCTTGAGAACTTCAGCCAAATGGCTTGATTCTTTCTTGAAGATGTTAAATCTTCAGCAAAAACTATAATACTTCTTTAAGAAAAGCAAGTAATCTGTTGTCTTTTTGAGAATTTGATATCTGAAGCAGGAATCGTTCTTTTTACCTGAAATTTTCAAGATATTCTAATAGTCTCAAGAGTTGTTTTATGACGTAGTTGTAGACCTGAATTCGTGCGTTCGATTTTTTTAAAATAAATATCACATCAAAATTACAAATACAGCAAAACCACTATAACTTCGGAAGGAGAACATATGGTAAGGAATCCTTCTAAGCTTTGTCTAGTCTCAATAGATGACTGTCTCACTTCAAACACCAACGGATCATCTAGAGTAATTTCCTCGTAAACATAGAGATTTTTTTCTAAACGAAATGATATTTTGCAAAAAAAAAAAGCAAAAAATTCTTTCTTTAATAAACTTTTGTAGAAAAAAAGAAGGACATACAAAAACTGTAATTCTTATCTTCTATTATCAACAAACAAACAAACGATTTTTAATCTCATTGAATATTTACTTGGCTAGTTTTATCAATTTTAATTCTATATAAACCATTTGGTAATGGATGTATAACAATTAAAACATCACCAAAAGCACTAGCAATAATTGATCTATCATATTCATGATAATGTTCTGTCCAAATAATTTGTACTTCATCATTTCCAATATGACGTGTTTTTTTTTTAAGTCGATCTTCATCTGTTGAACCATCAATCATTGTTGCAACATGAAACATTATTTCAACAAGTGCATTTGCATAATATATTGAATATGTATTCGCTAATGGATGTAAACCACCACGAAAACCAGTATGTTTTGATAATTCAACTTGCCAACCAAGATGTCTAAGAAATTCTTCATAATTTGGACTACCCTGTGTATTATTAAATATACTTGTTTTATCTTCTTGTCCATAACCAATATAAATAACCGCTAAAAACAAAAAAAAACGAAACCATTAAGATTTATAAATAGATGGAACATGTTATTATTGGTCTTTGTTTTTTTTTTGTTTTGTCTTACCGATTTTATGTGTTTCACGACAATTAAGTGTATCTAAATTTTTTAATTCACGTAATAATTGATCACAATTTGTTTTTGATGTATTTAATAAATCAATATTTTGTCGATTTTCAAACATCATTAAACCAAGTTGTGTTATATGTGATCGACATAATGCAAATCGATCATTACGTGATGGTTGAATGATATTATCAAGATTTTGTTCAATTTTACCAAATGAAGATGAATCTATATAAAAATATAAAATTATAAGAAAAACAAACATTTATTTTTTTTTTTTACCATAACTTTTTTCTGCTGTTTCTTGTTCATTAATCATTTGTATTATAGCTGTTTCATCATGAGAAGATATTGATGTTGGTGTTGGTGAAACATCTGTTAATGTTCGATCACTGTAAAATGCTAATTCTGGACTATGAGATGTTATATATTGAAGAAGCTATAAAGAATAGAAAAACCAAAAAGATTTTATCAAAAAAGTTTCAAGTCTGTTATAAGCTATATTCGTGTGTAAAATTATATAAATTCATATTAAACTATGCAGGAAGAATAATCTTACCTTTCGGCTATCTTGCAGTATGAAATGCTGTCTAATATAAGATTCGATAGCTCGATATATTTTCTATCGTTAGTGATTTGCCTAGGCGCATTTCATAGTTGATGGTACTAAGATTTGTACACAGTACATGTCGAACAACGTCAGCACTCAGTCATGGAGGCTCTATTAGGAATGATTAACAAGAGAACAAAAGGATTCATCAATGTGAACCTTAATTTTTGTCACAGGCTGCGACAAGCGAATGTTTTTTTTTTTGGAAATTGGATATCTCAGCAAAAGAATATTCTGCCAACTGGCGTGTATCAGTTTGAGTTGTTTCCTCATAAGATGAAGAAATTTTTTTTTTGTTTTTGTACTACCTATCTTATTATCTACAGAAATATAAAATCTTGACAATTCGATATGTATTTATGATATTATAAAAAAATGTTGATAGAAATATTTTTTCTCATAAACAATATTTATAAAAAGTGTTATGATCAAAAAATTAAATTATTCTATATTACTTTATCTAAAATATCAGTATTTGGTGATTGATTTTGAAAAGTTGGTGGTTGAATAGAATCAAATTTTTCCAATATTGTTATTCCTCGTGTTGTTTCTTCAACTTGATATGTTGATTTAGTCGGTAGAGATAATTCTATAAATAATTATCATTTATATTGTAACAAAACTTTTGACAAAAAACTACGCTTTCAAATGATCAATCACTTTCTTATTAATAACTATTCTATTATAAATAACCGATCATAACAAAATTTCCTTAGGTCTTTAATATACTAGTATTGAGAAAATGATTGATCGATTGAAAATGTTCATCAGTTAAATATTAAAAAAAAAAGAGAAAATTTCTAACCAATAGGATTATTAAATGGACGTGTAATTGCTTTAGAATTTGAACTAATATTAAATGCATAATTATCCCAACAATATCTTCCACATAAATCTCTTATTATAGTTCGACATAAAGTTGTTCGTGATATAAATTGTTGATTATCAGTTGTTAATTCATTTGTTTTATCATTTGGAATTTCAATAAATGATATTAAAAAATCATCATGTATAACAAATAATTGAATATTTGATGAATATATAATTAATTCATCAATTTGATTTATATTTTGATTATCATCATTTTGTATTGTTTGAGATTTTAATGATGTTAACCAATCATGTCCTTCATGTACATTTGTTGTTATAAGTGATGATTCATTTTCCGTTAATGGAAAATGTGAATGTTCATTAAGTAAAAATAATATAGCAAATTTACAACATAATTTTATTGATTGACTTAATGTTAATTCATTATCTTGAACTTTTTGTTCATCATTTAATATATTTGTTGAATGATAAACATCAACTAATATTGAAAATGTTCGTTGTATAATTGTTGTTGATATTCCTTGATTATTTTCATCACGTTGAATTTGTTGTTGTTGTTGTTGTTGTAAATAATTTGTTGGAACATGTAATATCCAATCGAGTAATGCAAATATTAATGATTTTATTATACGTACATTATTACGCATTAATGCACCAATATCACGTGGTATATTTGAACGTAATGATGATATAAGACCATCAATTATAACTGTATATAATTGACCATATTGATTATCACGATGTGATATAAATAATGGTGCATATGATGCAAGAAAACGAAGCATATCAGCTGCAAATACAGTTGAATCAGCCGGCTAAGCAAAAAAAAAATAAGAATTGATTAAATAAATTAATTTAAAATATAGAATTTTGAGTGAAGTTTTATTTATAAATAGATTTTTTGGAAAACTATAAAAATAAAAAAAAACTATATTGAATGAAAAATTTTTTTATTGTATTATATCATAGTGCATGTGAAAACGAAATTTTAATAGTCTATAGAATTTTAGCTATGTCAACTGAGATTTTACAAAGTGATTGTGATAATAGTGAATAATTATTAAAAGATTTTATATATAGATTATAATAAGAATAAAATTGAAGATGAACTACAGTTATCTAAATGTTGACAATATACAGTCAAAGACAAAAGTTTAAACGAAAATGTATTTTTGATTTTTTCTATAATAACAAGCATCTAATTGAAATCCAAATAGTGATTCGCATAGCCAATGAAGAGCTCTATCAAATGCATCCTATACCAGAATTACATAGATGATTTAAGGTAGCAAGGTTTCTGGAGAACCCAAAACCGTATTTTTCAGGTCTCAGAAAACTTTTCAATAATTCGTTTCTAACAATACCAACTTAAAGAACACAAAATTCTGAAGAAAATGAAGGATCGCCGCCTTTCCTATGACTTTCGTTTCAAAAGTTATAAGCATCACAAAAATCGAAAACATATGATTTTTAGCGGTTTCTTGATAAATTTCACTTTTTTTTCCAGTTTTTGTAATGCTTATAAATGTTGAAACGAAAGTCGTAGGAAAGGCGGCGATCCTTCATTTTCTTCAGAATTTTGTGTTATTTAAGTTGGTATTGTTAGAAACGAATTATTGCAAAGTTTTCTGAGACCTGAAAAATACGGTTTTGGGTTCTCTAGAAACCTTGCTACCTTAAATGATCTATGTAATTCTGGTATATGATGCATTTGATAGAGCTCTTCATTGGCTATCCGAATCACTATTTTGATTTCAGTTAGATATTTGTTATTATAGAAAAAATCAAAAATACATTTTCGTTTAAACTTTTGTCTTTGACTGTAGACATTCATATGCACTGACATTTCATGGTTTGATATATTAAAGCATGTGTATAGGAGAAAAATAAAAAAGATTTGTGAAAGAGTGAATTTGTTTATAGAATTTTCGTTATCTGAAATATAGTTGTGTTGCTTCTATGAGATTGGTGATTGTATAAGAGCTGGTGCAATGAGCTGTGTTTATGTTTATATGACAGCACAGTTTTATAATCCTATGTCATATGGACTGTTTATAGTTGTGTTTTATATTTCTCAAGTGAAAGAATATTTAATCTGATAATTAGTCAGACAATAGATTTAAGTTGTTCGTGCAATTGATAGTTATAGCATGGTATCGATTCATGTTAAATTTTATGTTAAGATTTTAATTCAAGCTTAACAATGCTTAACGAATTTTTATTTCAATGAAATATGTAGATTGAAAAAGGAGTCTCCAAGCGAATTCTCAATTATTTTACAACCAATGTTTTTATAAAAGAAAAAAGCTACGAGTAATATTTTCACGTATATAGATGAAAATCGTATGTATAACAACGGATTTAAATTTAGGACAGTTCAATTTTTAATATTTTTGTTTTTCAACGATTATAACTAGCAAGAGTTTGAAAAAATAATTATTCAATTTGAAACTTTTGAGAAAACATTTCGTTTAATCGTGTAAAATGAGACATTTCCAATTTTTCCCTGGTCTTTCTTCATCGAACTATATTCAATTTACAGAGAGTCAAAATAAACATATTCACTTATTTTTGTTATGTTTGATACTTTGAACTCTTCTGTTGCTGACAAGTTTCGCATGAAAATTAGAAAGCTATTAAAGTTCTAGAATATCTTCATCACGATAATTCATTTTTCTCTTTTGATTATAAAGTAAAAAAAAAACAAAGAAATACTAAAATTCAAATTCTTTTCTTTATAAGCATTTTCATTATCTTTGTTGTGACAAAAAGAAAAAAAACTCGAATTATAAATGATAATTATTTATTTACCTAACTAGCAATAGCAAGCATACTTACATGTTCTAGTTTCTCTACAAGTGTTCGCGGATTAGATTGTCCCTTTAAGATGAAAATTAAGAATAAAATATTTTTTTCGTTTTCTTTCTATCACTATTCTAAATTTCCTTCTTTTATTGTTCTCTTTTCTTTCTTTTTTTTTTTATTCCCTATCTAAATAAAACCAACCTGTAAACATTCAACAATAAATACAATAAATGGTCGAATAGGTGATTCAGTTCGTTGATGTTTTAATTCTTCACAAAGAAATATTGCTAAACCACATAAAGCTATTTCTCTAATTAAACAAAAAAAAGTTCAATGTAGATAAATGAATTATTTTTATTTTTCAAAAATATTTACCGTGATTCAAGCATTGCATCATTTTGTGATGCTTTTATTAAATCTCGCATAATCATACGTTTTAATGATGTACGATCCATTGTTGTTGGTATATATTCTTTATCTTTAGTAGATAAAACATCAAGTTGTTCAAAATGATTTGGAAAACAAACAAGACTACTCAATATAGTCAATGCTTCAACTTTTGGAATCTATTATTAATAATTTATAATAAGATTATTAACGAAAAACAAATATTACAGTTTTTCCATCAACAAGACATGGTTTTTGACCTATTTCACAACAAGCTGTTGTAAATAATGGTACAAGTAATGTTGATGATGGCCAACATCGATGAAAAAAATCTACTTTACATGAACTAATTATAGCATAAATAATATCCTAAAAAAAAACAAATAAACAAACATAAATCAATGATATTATTTAATGTTTTATAATTTTACTTCATCTCCTGATGATAAACCTTGATAAATAGTTAATAGAAACATATCAAGAAAATCTGCTGGAGGTGAAACATCATGATTAAATACACCCATTGAACATAATAATTTATATGCAGATAATTTTCCTTCACGATATGTTGATGGTAATGTTTGTATAGCCTAAGAAATAATTATATCAAAAAAAAAAAAAAATAAACGAATATTCTTATTTATTTTATTTAAACTAACTTCAAAAAGCCATGGTGCAAATATTAATAACGGTGGACCATCAAAATATAAATCACCATGTAAAGTATCTTTTGATAGAATATGAATCTAAAAATATAAAAATGCAATTAAAAATAAAATTGGAAAATTATTTTTTTTTCTTACACGACAAAGCATTTTCCATATATCAAAAAGTGTTTTCATTATACGATTATGTTGTTCAGCTGAACGTATTTGATTTATATTTCCAAGTGAACCAAGCATACGAAACCATGCTGTATAAGCTGTTTCAGGTGCTAGACGTGTTGTTTCAAAATTTTGTTCATGTGTATAAATAGTTGTATCAATACTATCGATTGTAGTTGAATCTTGTGGAACTAAAATGTTTTTTTTTTAATGAAATAATAAAAAATTATATATACGGAGCGCGTTCAAAAAGTATCCGGACTGATTTTATTAAAAAAAAAAATAGAAAGAGCTGCTGTGGGTGTTTTATTGTCTGTGTGTAGTTTATATACTCCTCTATCCATAGACACCGTAAGCTCTTTTGAATGATGCGTAGATATGAGAATACCTTTGAGGCTACTCTTTATACACTGAAAAAAAACTACAGAGCTCAGTGAAGTTTTAGTTTTTCCTCAGGCTAGTTTCAATTGAACATTTATGAGTTGATGACCACAACTCATAGTGATAGTGGTCTATCACACACTACAATATTTTAATGGGCTCATCATTCTGAAAGTGAATAAATAGATATCAATGTTATGTCAGGTGTGATTGACACATCGTTAGAAATAGGTGTGGTGATGTCTTTTTTCCTTGGACCAACTTTAGTCATACATGATTGATGAGGCAAAATGTTGTAAAGTGAACATTTGAAATCAGAATGATGTCTGATATTTACTCAGGTACAATTTGACTACTTTCGATCACTAAGATTCTAAAAACCTTTATGTTTATGTGATTTACATTTTGAAATACCATGCGTTTGGGATAATCTATCTATTATACAACGGTTCTATTCCGAAATTCCACTAGGGAACAGCAAATTAATTGTTGTAATCGACCACTATATTTTCGTGATTATTACATGAGCAATGCTTTTATTGAGCAAAAAAATCTGATCATTGGTTGGTACCCGAGATTTCGCTTTTTCTGTCAGTGTATAAACAGTGGTCTCAAATGTATTTCCATATTTTCATATCTACGCATCATTCAAAAGAGTTTACGGTGTCTATGGATAGAGAAGTGTATAAACTACACACAGACGCACAGCAACTCTTTCTATTGTTTTGTAATAAAATCAGTCCGGATACTTTTTGAACGGTCCACGTATATATATATTTTTTTTTTATTATTTTTACATGAATGAAGACTATCAACAGTTGATTGACTAAGTGGATGATGATTACGTGATAATGGTGGAGATATATGTTGATGATGATCTGATGTTGAAGTTGATTCGGAAATTGTTGTTGAACGAGAATCTGTTGTATTAGTACTATTAGCTAATTTATAGGAAATAAAAATAAAAATTTTAATATAATCTTATGAAAAAAATAAGATAATTTATCACTCAATCAAATCATATTTTGATACTATCAATGAAATTTTCTAAAATAATCGCTTTGAAGATATGAGACTTTTTTTTCTAGATTTTTTGAATATTTGGTGACTATGACACACTATGCTTTGTCATAAGACTAGAGTCCAACGAGTTCATGATCAATTCGATAGGCGCTAGTTATATGATAATCTATTAATATGCATGACTTCTTTTTGTGTTACTTGTTAATGAGAATATCTTTCTAATGATTTGTTTATAAACTTATTACTTTTGACAGTTTTATTAATCGAATTCTGAAAAAAAAACAACCTTTCATAATCATTCTGATTACGTCGAAGTTTAATGCAAGGCTCAAATTATATGACATCATCAAATGAGTTAATCCTTAGAGAATATACTGATTCACTTATTCGTATTAATTTAGATTTATAATTAATCTTCTTTTTTTTTAATTATATTTCCAAAAAAAAAAAGATCAATTTCTTCATTTAATTCAAATTATGATCTATTTCAGTAATCTCTTTGAAAGAAAAGATATCGAAAGATCAATTTTAATATGTTATTAAAGTTAAAAGGCAAATGTTTTTTTTTTAAAGACTTCTTGCCTCTCTAAATATCGAAACTTCAACTAATATCGATCTCATATCTACGAATGATTATATGATTTTGTTTTTCTAAGTTTATGAGCATATTGTGAAAAATTTATTTCTCTGTATATAACTAAGCAACATCAATAGATATATAATAACTTTAAAATTCTATTCTGATAGAAAGAAAAATCTTAAAACATATTCAACTATTTGGAATTTCTTCTACGTTGTATTTCATACATATAAAAAAAAAACAAAAAGATTTTTATTTACTTTTATATTGTGATGTTAATGTATCTCCACCACCAATACCACCTAAACTATTTGTATCAAGTAAAGCAGCTGATGCATTACTATAATCATCACTCATTGGTGAATCCAGTGGATGAGTTGGTGATGACATATCACTAATTTGAGAATTAGCTAAAAACAAAAAGAAAGAACATATTAATAAAACATAAATAAATATCATATACGTGTTTGTTGGGATATTTGAATAGTTAATGGTTGTTGTTGTTGTTGAGTAGGTATTAATGATTCACTTGGACTGAATAAAAGTGGATTGAATTCACGTAAATTTTCTTCGTTTATTATTTGTTGTTCATCTGCTTGATTACTTGGAATAGTTACTAAAACATGTGGCTACAAAAAAACAAAACAATAGAATTTTTTTTTATTTTTTTATTATACTCGATTAACAGTTGATGATGTTGTATGTGTTGCACTATCATCACTACTTGTACGTCGTCGTGCTACTCGAGTACGTTCAACAAGTGATGGTCGAATTGATTGTTGTTGATGTTGTGATGGTGGTGTTGTTTGTTCTGGTAGATCCATATCATCATCAGAACTTAATGTTCGTATACGTTGTACAACTGATGGATTTTGATCAAGAGCACCAGATGGAACAGATTGTGGAGTACGTCGAATACCACCATTTGCACCACCTCGACGAATATTTGATGTTTGTGATGATTCTGTTTCAACTTTATAAACAAGACGACCAAGATCTTTTGTTAATGCACGCATTGATAACTATTGAAAAATTTGTTTTGTTTTTTTTCATTAATTTCTTTATATAAAAGATGAATACTTACATCCCATTGATCAATAACTTCAGGCCACATAACTTTTGATGATAATGTATCACTTAAATTATTCCATAGTTCAACACTAACATATAATGATGCTGATTGAAACAAGAAAAGAAGAGTCTAGAAATAAAAGTAGAAATGTCAATTATTTTGACTAAATATATATATATATTAGAATAAAAATTAATATAATGAGTGATACGAATAGAATTTAATACTCTTCATGAATATATTGTTTGTAATTAGTATGAAAGTCAAAGAAATAGGAAAATTAATAGCAAATTTTCAGATTCGAATCCAAAACCTTTGCGAAGGACTCTAATTTGGAGAGACTTCAAGATAGAAGTAAAATTTATTACAAATATGAAGACTTTTAGTATTGACATCTTTGAAATTCCTTGATTTTTGTTAGAATGTGATGCAGTCATGCAAAACGATTATGCCGAAATTTGGAACTTTAATAATGAAAATAAGAAAGTAGTGAGAAAAAAAGTGTAGAATCAATATCAAATAGAGTATGATTAGATTTGATGTTTCTATTACATCAATTAGAACATCTGCTTCTGTTCAAACTTTATTGACAGATCTTTTTTAAAGATTCTAAATTCTGATTTTAAGTTTTCTTCTAAATCGTATAATTGGTTGACAAATGAACAAACATATTTTATTCAAAAAACTGTCATTATTTTCTTATCAATAATAAATATAAATAATATTCAATCTAGTTAATTAAATTTTACTCAAATAGTTTTATCGTAGAACATAAAATTATTTTTCCTTTAACTATCTTATTTCACTAGTTGAACAATTTAATGATAACAAATAAATATTATTTTTTTTACATACTTTTATTGTATTTTCAATATATATATGATTTATATTTGATGTTGGTCGATCTTGTAATGAAAGTCGAACTATTTTTAACATAACTCTTAAAATTAAATCCCTACGAAAAAAAAAAAAAACAAATCTATTAAATAATTTCTTTTTTTTTTACCATGTTGATCGATCTGGTGTATGTCTTTGTGGTAATTTTTTATAGAATGTAACAAGACCAGCAAGTGATCTATCACGCATAGCTTGTTCAGGTTGTATTGTATTTGTTGTATTCATTCCATGTTGTGTTGTTAAAGTTTGTTGTTCATCATTAGTAGATGTTGGTCGTACAAGAAATAAATAAAATGATTGTGTTATAAAAATTTGTAACCAACGATTAAGACCTAAACGAAGATGATTATCATTAGGTACATCATTTGATGATGAACGTTGTTCAGGTTCAAGCATAAAAACTGGTCGTAAATGTTTTTCCTATGAATTATAAAATGAAATTTGATTGAGTTTTTTTTTTTTTTATTCTCTAAATAATTGATACAAACTTTTATCCAATTATTCACCGTACGAAGAATTAGAGAAGCAGCTAAACCATTTTCACCGGACATAAGATAACTCTAAAAATAATATTGATAGAAGAAAAGAAATTTTCTTGTGTTTTATTTATTTATTTACTTGTCGAAATATTTCATGAATAAAATTAATATTTTCTTGTGTTGATAAAAGTACATTTTGACCTATTTCTAACATATTACTATCCAATGGTCCAATTTGATTTTCTAATTGTTGAAATGATACTATTTGATTTTTTGATATTGAACCCGCTATTATATGATATAATTCATTTGATGATGATAAATAATCTAATGGACCAATTGCTGTACTACTTGATGCTGTTGATTGAGTTAGAATATTTTGAGATGTTACACTTGGATTTTGTACCCGTGTTCTATAGAAACAAAAGATTTTGTTTTCAAATGAAGAAATATTTCTTTTCAACCTAACATAAATACTTTCTAAATATACTCTAAATATACTAATAATATCCATCAGTTATGCTCAACTATTATTTATATGAATAGATCATCCAAAAGTATATGTTCATCTGAACTAGATGTTATCGAATTGGTCTTGAATTGGATCGAATTAGGCTCCAAAAATTTTTGACGCTGAGTTTTAGTTTGGATTTCGATAAGATTTATTAATAACAAGTAATCAAGACAATATCCTTTAAGGTATGCATTAGAAACACTTAGTACGGTACACTAATAACATTAGTTAATCATACATAGTTGTTCTTCTTGTAATTGAACAGTTCATATTATATCTAAATACGACATATTGATATATGATTTCAAATGTCTCAAAAATAGAGAATGGATAAGATTACTTTAAGAAAAAAAGAAAGAACTAAATAAATATAGTTAAAACTAATTGCATTGTTTTTGTAATCGATTCTTCACATGATCATACTAAACTAATAACAACGTCGTGTATTATATTTATGTTTTATTAATTAGAGTTTACATCGATCTCAGATGGACAACAAATCGTAGTCGTCAAAGTAGTTGTTTGAAAGAGAATGTTAATTGTTCACAAGGAATACATTCATGTTCTTTCATAGAGATAGAACTGAAGAGAAGACTTACATCGCATCATAGTTAATATTATATATGTATACTCTTAATTCTTAAAATTTTTATTATTTTTCATTAAATTATTGATATTGCTTTTATATTTTATATAATTGAGATTTTAGTTTTTCGAGCTTTATCTTACTCTAGCAATTGATACTAATTTATTGTCTTTAAGATAAATAATTAATCTAAAAATTTATACAAGAGAAATAAAAAAATACTATTGTAAGTTTAAATTTCAACTATGAAAAATCTTTTAATGAAAATTTCATAAAAAAACTTACAATGTTCTATCTCGATTTTGTCCTTCATTAAGAAATGGTAATAACCATACAATAAATGCTGTTCGACATAAATATGCTTGTCGTCTTCTTAATCGATCACTTTCAATTCGTACTGTATCAGGAATTGTTACTAAAAAAATATTTCTTTTTTTGTTTGTTTGTTTTCATAAGAAAAAAAAATGAATCTTTTTTTACTTGGTATAGATAAATCATAAATATTTTGTTCAGTAAATGTTGGAAAAAGTGTTGGCATATAATAACGTTTAAACATATCAAATAAAAATCGAAAACATTCTTCTTGTTTTTCTAAACGTGATGATTCACGATTTGAATCCCATAAAATACGTTTACATGTATCCGACATAGTATGTAACATAAAAAAAAGCCAACGTTCAGCAGGTGGTTCATAATCAGAAGTATTTTTTGGCCATATTGGAATAATATCAGCCCATCGAAATGTATCTAAAATATTTCAAAGTTACTTTTCAGTATATATATATATAGTATTACAAACCAGGTGGTGGTCGAAATATTTCATTAAATGCTGCTGATGCTTGTTCATCTGTATTTGGATTTTCTCCACTACCACGTGTACCAACCAATGTTTGATTCCAATTACGTATAAGATTTTTAAATAATGTATGTTCATCATCAACAGCATTATTACCTAATATTTGATACCAAAGAAGAAATAGTCGTATGCCACGTGCAACACCCTATGTTTAATCAATGATTTCTTTGTCGTTGTTTTTTTTTTTCGTAGGAAAAAAACAATTAAAATTTATTTACTTGTGGACTATTACAAACAACAAAATATCGTTTAATTACATTGCATATACAATGTGCTTGCCATCTTTGATGTACAAAGGTGGGTAATAATGTAAGAATACGCTATAGAACAAAACAAAAAAACGGAAAATATTAATTAAACATAAAGGGTATTGGAATAGGTCATGACATTAAAATTGATATTTTTACGGAGAAAGTCTACATACATAGGAATTAAAAAATCTCAAGAGATTAAATAAAATACTAATAAATAATGGTTGAATGGTAATTTTGACAGTTTTTTATTCTACGATTCAATTATAATCACTTATCAGCGGCACAAATATTTAATCGATCACATCATATATTGTTCAAATAAATATTTTTTTCACACTTAATATCTATGAGCTAAAAACAGCTTACTCATTGAAAAAAAAAACAAATTCATTTATCAATGGAATACATATTGAAAATTATTTATTCCTTTTTTTTGTGTTCTAGAAATACCTATTCACCAACGAATCTCAAGGGAAATTTCAACTTTAATTAATTAATTTATTAGTCAACATAAATATTCTATTACCTCTAATAAATTGGTAACATATTCAAGTTCTAATTGATTTTGTTTTGAAACTAAAAACAAGAAAAACAAATAAAAAAAAAATTCTTTTTTCTTTGTGTATTCTTTATTTTATTGATTTCTTTCAATGATAACATACGTGCTCGTGTTAAATTATTTTCAACTTGACTAAAATTTTCAAAGAATAAATAAAAAATATATTGATATGAACTTTTAAAAAATGCTTGTAAATCATCAGTTGATAATTGATCTAGATTAAACAAAAGATTTTATTTTAAATTAAAATTTATATTCTATTATCATACCAATTAATAGTTTTAAATAACGTTGTCGATCAGATGGATTTTTTGTTAAATCAATTATTTTTTCTTTTGTTCTTTGAATTGTGTCATCACCTTTGCCCGGTTTCGTTCGACCGAACATTAGTGCCAATCAAAATAATTATTTAGTATAAACAAAATATTAATTACATGGAATACAACAAACAAAAATAAGCAGATTATTATCTAAAATATATATGATAACTGACTTCTTCGTTCTTTAAAAAATCTGAAGAATGAGCAAGAGACATGCAAAAATATATTTTTTCTTTCATACACTTCTATTCGTTCTATTTGTATCCAATAGATTCATTAAAATGAAAAGATGTCGTTAATAATTTTTTTACTTTTTTACTTAAAAAAAAAAATTAACAAAATTTTCATTTATAATTTTAATTTTTAATTAAAATTTTCCTTAACAAATATATCTAATTCTATTTCATTGGTTATTAAATATCTTTGTTGACCGAAACGTATTAATACGGAGGATAATTAAACAAAGATGGCGATTAACTATTCTCCGACTACACATGCCCTCTTTTGTCTCCGAAAATAAATATCATCTTCTTGTTATTTTTTTGTATTTCTCCTTGGATTTAGATGGTTTCATCTGAAACAACATGTACATTAATTGGTGGAAGTTTAATAGTTCTACTAATAGCTGGTTATTTTGGTCAACAATTTTTACCAGCACCTAAACCAAAAGTAATCGGTTTTGATTTAGGTACAACTTATTCATGTGTTGGAATTTATCATGCTATAAGTGGATTAGTTGAAGTTATACCAGCACAACGTAATCGTTCATGTATGCCATCAATTGTATCATTTTTATCTAATGGAACAATTCTATTAGGTTATGATGCATTTGATCATCTTGAAACTAATCCAAAATATACAATTTATGATACAAAACGTTTTATAGGTAAAAAATTTTCATTAGAAACAATAAAAAAAATTCAAGAAGATTATCCATTTGAAATTAAACTAAATAATCATGGTTATGTTGAATTTATTATATCTGATAATGGTACACGTATAACACCACAAGAAATAGGTTCATTATTATTAAAACATTTAAAATTATTAGTTGAACAATATTTAATGATTTCAAAAATAAAACATTGTGTATTAAGTGTGCCAGCTGAATTTAATGATGAACAACGACATGCAACACGACAAGCAGCAGAATCAATTGATATTAAAGTTGAAAGGATTATATCTGAACCAACAGCAGCTGCATTAGCATATGGTTTACATAAACGTGATAATGTACGTTATGTATTAGTTATTGATATAGGTGGTGGTACAACTGATGTTAGTTTATTATCTGTACAAGGTGGAATGTTTTCAACACAAGCTATGGCTGGTAATAATCGTTTAGGTGGACAAGATTTTAATCAAAATTTATTTCATTATATATTAACATTAATTGATAATAATAATAAAAATAAAACTGATCCAAATTTTTTACAACATTTAAGAATTGAAATTGAAAAATGTAAACTTGATTTATCAATATTAGAACAATGTATAATTAATTCAAAATGGATTATAACAAGAGATTTATTTGAAAATATAAATCAAGATTTATTTAAAAAAATTCTTGAACCATTAGATAGAATATTTGCTTATATTAATTCTGATATTAATGATAATGATGATGATGATGATATAAGTAATAGATTAACTGCTAATAATATTGATGAAATTGTTTTAGTTGGTGGTTCAACACGTATGTTAAAAATTCGAATATTAATTGAAGATTATTTTCAAAAAAAACCTAATATTGAAATTGATCCTGATGTTGCTGTTACACATGGAGTATCAATACAAGCAGGAATTATAGGTGGAGTATGGCCATTAACTGTTACTGCTACAGAAGTACGAACTACAGTAGAAAAAATTCATATTGAAACATAATAGGCAATATTTTGTTTTTGATTTCTTTTTTTTTTATTTTATTCATTTATGAGGATATTCATTTTTTATGAAAGGAATGATAAATTGATAGACATTCTTTTTATTCTGATCTCGAATCATATCCAGCCGGTGGTATCTCTTATACCTTCGGTTGTTGTTTTTTCAAAAGGAATTTTATTTCCCAATACTTGTTTTGTTTTTTTTTCGTCTATTTTTCTAATTTGTTATTTATTGTCTTGTTAACATAACGAATTATTTGTTGTTGTTATATTATCTTTATTGTTTCCTATGATGATCTGTTTATTTAAACATGATTAATTCTGTTTTTCTTTTTTTTAGATAATAACAAATATATATTCGTTTTTTTTTCTTTTACTTTTATTAATCTCGACCACGAAAAGCTCATGCTGATCGTGAGTCATTTATCATCATGCGTAAAAAGTCAACAACATTATCTCCATTAAAACGTCCGTCTACTCGTTCATTATCAATTAATAAACAACAAACATCTTCAGATAAATATACATTTCAATCCGACGACGACGAGGATTATAATAAAAAACCAACGGTGTTCATACGTAAAAACATAACACCAACACCAATAAAACGTTCTCGTGGTCGCCCACCTAAAACTCCTAAAATTGAAGATATTCCAAAACGTATATCAATATCATCATCAACTATTGAAAGTGATAGTGATACAGAAGAAAATTCTTTAATAACAAAACGTAAGCATTCGAATAAATATTCATACGAAAAACCAGTTACACGTCGTGCATCACGTCTTGTATCTCAAACAAATACATCCGTAAGTGAAAAAATTAATTCTACACCAAAAAAACGTGGACGTAAACCAAAAATGTTAAATATAAATGATAATAATAATATTGAACAAGATAAATCAAAACAACAAATTGAAACAGAAAATATGATTCCACCACAATCAATAAAACGTCGTTATATAAAAAAGAAAACTTTATCAACAGATACAAATCCTAAAATTGAACTTAATGAATATGATGAAGACAATAATAATAATAATAATAATAATAATAATCAAAAAATTTCAACTATTGATGAAAAAGATCTTATGCAATTTGGTTCACCACAACAACACCAACAACAGAGTCAAGTACAACAACATCAAATTGATGATGATTTTAGTGATGATTCAGTTGAATTTGTTTGGAAAGGTTCAAGTAAAATGTCAATTGAAATTCTCAAACGTCGTATACCAAAAGATGAACCACGAGATTTATCATCAAATCAAATTGATCCAACAGCACAACGTAAACGTGCTATTATTCCACGTTTAACTAATTTTGATGCTTTATCTGGTCAACCAATTGATAATACAACAACAATTAAACGTGATAATATTGATCAAAATTTACAAAAAAAATCAACTTCTGTTATTACATTAAATAATGTTTTTCAAAATGATTTTGTTCCTTCATATAATGATACAGGTACAAAAATGACAACAACAACGACGACGACAACAACAGAAGAGAAACCTCGTCCTCGTATTTATGCTGTTAAAAGTACAACAATGAAATCACGTCCACAACAACCATTACAACAACAACAACAACAACAACAACAACAACCGGAAATAAAACGACCTAAATGGATGAATGATCAACAAGAAAAATCTGAAGATGATGATGATGATAATCATAATTTACCACCAGCTGGTGAAGAACCAAATGATTTTGATTATATACCAAAAGGACAATATATACCTAAACGTCCAAATTATCGTGGACGTGGTACATATCCAGGACGACGTGGTACAGGTATGCGTGGACGACCACCTGGTTCACGTCGACAATGGCATGATGACGATGATGATGATGATTATGATCAATATGAAGAAATGAATTCAAGATATGGACCACGAAAACAATCAACATATCGATCAACACGTAAAATAATAATATTTATTATTTAAATAAATTTTTTTAAAATTTTATCATATTCTAGGACCTATGTATGATATGGGTGGTGGTGAGGATGATGATTATGATAGAAATCATCGAATGAGTTTAACACAAGCTTATCGTCGAAATAATATGACTCGTCCACCATTATCATCTATGAGTGGTCAACGTCGTATTGCAATTAATAATGGTAATCATCCAATATATAAAGTAAGAAATCAAAAAGAAAAAAAAAAATAAAATTTAAAATTTTTCGTAAGAATACTTGTCTCTTTTTTTGACCAAAAGCAAACGTCAAAATTGAGCTAATTATAGGAAGTGATAGAGAGAGATTAATCATAGTATGCATTCAGATAGTGTATATTAGATGAAGACAAATGAAAGTCATTATTTCAAATAGTGATAAAAATGCGTAAAAATTTTTTGTTCGAAACTTTAAGTAGAGTAGAACAACTGAAATTCAAAAATTAATCTGAAAATACTTATACTGATAATGATCATAGAATACAACTATCTAGTAAGCGCACCAAATCATTTCATACTTCATAGATGTGTTTTGTCGAAAAATTTCTGTGGTTTTTTTGACGAGAGCACTAGCCGAATCGATAATAGCTATTTCAGATCATATTAATTTCAATAGGCAGTCTCTATAAGACTCGAAAAACTTTACAAAGGGTCTTTCTTATAAGTCGAGTTAGGAACGTTCCATTAAATATTTTGATATGAAATTTTTAGTGGAAACGAATATTTCTTTCTCAAAATATTGAATTTTCTATTAAACAAGTTTTTTTGTAGCAAGTGACCATTTTTTTAAAAATTTAGTCTCTCTATGAAATGAAACCTCTTTTCGATTGAAACTTTGAGGATATTCTTAGAGTTATGAAAACTATCTATGGACATGAACCTTTTTCATATTTTTCTAATCACACTGAGACCTTCATGTAAGCTCAAACGATGGATAGCCTCTTCATAAATCATAAACAATTACTTCTCTGTACAAGAGAATCATTCTCGAGAACGCAAATAACATGTCCGTCTTTCATGCCAAAAAAAAATGTATATTTTATAAATGTAATGAAAGTCTTCTTCAATTACAATCCTCTGGTTTTTGTTTTTTTTTGTCTGATAAGATCTTATCTATAAGTAAGGAAAAATTATAAATTCGATATATGGTCAAAAAAAGAGATGAATATTTTTTTAAATAATTATCTGATAATATATGTGTGTGTGTGTTTTCTCAGCCATACAAATCATCGAGTTATCGTCCGACACCAGCTACACTGGGTTTATCGACGTCAAGTCGTCGTACGAGTAGTACTAGTCGAAGTCCTGTCAGTACAATCTCAAAATCTCATCATCATTTATCATCAACAATTTCCAAACATTATTCGGTGAGAGTATTCAAAACACACACACACACATATTAAAAAAATAATAATCTCATTTATCTTATATTTAAATAATATAATGTTTTTTTTTTGTTCTCTTTTACTTCGTTTATATTAGGATGACGATTATTATCATCAACAAACACGTCCAACAACAATAAATAATACAAATAATAATAATACATTTGTTACTAAAATGAATGATACGCAATTAAATGATGTTTCAAATCAATCACAAATATTTTTTGTTAATATGCCACAACAAGAACAAAAACATCAACAACAACAACAAGTTCTTTCAGTTTTAACATCAGATCAACAACAACAACAACAACAACAAGTTCTTCCTGTGACTGTTGTACAACAAGGTAAATTAATATAAATAAAGAAAATTTTATAATTCTAATCAAATTACTTTAAATTTATCAATTTATATTTTTATAGTTAAATTACCTGTTGATGTACCTAAACAAAAAAAAATTCTACCTAAACCATCATCAACAAATCAACAAGTAAATACATCGAATGAACAATCTACAATAAATAATAATAAACCATTTTCATGGTCACGTCCACCAGGTCGTGTACAATCAAATCATAATGAACAAATGATGAATAAAAATATTAATTCAACATCAATTAATACAGATTTAGATACTATGGAAGCAGCACATGTTTTAGCAACAGCAGCTGATGTTACAATGGCTGCTGATGCTCGTCGTAAAGCACAACAACATGATGATGATATGACAATGATGGTTGATGAAACACCATCAAATATAGCTGGTGAAGAAACAATACAATGTGATGATAATACAGCAAAAGTACTTGCACAACAACAACAACAACTTGGAACAATAACAGCAAATATTATTGATGAAAATGGTGTTGAACATACTGTTTTATTATCAGCCGAAGAAGCACAACAATTACTTGGTTCACAGGGTGCTATTATTGTTGATAGCGGTAAAGAAAAGTTTTTTTTTTACATTAATATATTTTTTTTCTCTTGTAATAAAAGATGGTCAACCAATATCAATTCAACAAGCACAACCTCAAACATTTGTTTCACCATTTGCACTTGATCAAGCTCAATTACAAGCATTACTTGTTCAAGCTGGTATTGATCCAAATACACCATTAACTATTGAACAAGTTGATCCAAATCAACAACAACAAATAGCAACATTATGTACATCACCAGGTGGTACACAATATACTGTTTTAACACAAGGTTCAACACAACAACAATTTATTTTACAAACAACAAATGAACCAATATTATCTTCATTACCAATTCAAACTCAAACAATCGCACCAAAAGAAGAGATATCAACAATAACAACAACAACAACATCATCATTACCATCACCACCAGCAAAACGTCGTGCATTTGCTGTTAAATCAACAGTTCGTTCAGAAACATATGATGATTTAAATGAAAGACCACGACGTAAAATATTTGCAACAAAATCAACAGTTACATCAATGAGTAAGGTTTTTTTTTCCATATTGAGAATATAGAAGAATAATTCATTTTTTCTTTTTTTTGTTTTATTTTGAAGATGATGAAATTCATGATGATCAAGAAGGTTTTATTGGTACGCGAGCATATCATCGAAATACAGGTCGAAAATAACAAACAAACAATGCATTATCTTATATGTACAAATTGTCTTGTCATTATTATTCGTTATGTTTCTTTTTTTTTAGTTGTAAACTTCTTCTCTTCATTTTTTCTTCTATTTCGCTAAACTCTAAGAGGATGATGAGCGAAATAAACATTAAACATTTTGTCTATTTTCACTTATTCTCTATGTATCTATCGTTTTCTTGACATTAACTAATCTTCTCTCTATTCGTGCAAAAGTTTGTGTGCGTGTGTGTGTGTACAGCGCTACTTTGTACAAAATATTGTATGAAGAAACTTCTCCCTATATAACATAACAAAAAAAAAATATACATATATATTCTGTATTTACATGTTTTTTTTTTTCTTTAACATGGCTCTACGTTTTTTTTTGTTTTTTAGTATGCATCAATGGTTTATCATAGAAATATATACATATATATATATATAAGGAAAGATATGTATAATGAGATGAGAATAAAGTTTTTTTTCTCCTTTTTTTTTTCTTTTTGTCAATAATTAGAATGAATGAAAAGAAGAAGAAAAAAAATTATTAATTATTCGATAATAAACAAAAGTTAGATAAGATGATTGAATGTTAGTGTTTTTATTTAGATATTCAATAGAATAGATGGTACGCCATAGAAAGGTCGGAAGCGAAAAATATCGAAAAAATGACGTTTCTAGTAAACGGTGATTTAAAGAACACATGTATCTTTGTTTTTTATGTCTTCACTTATGTATCATCTTTATTAGGATGTTAGTATTTTGCCATACAAAATAAAAAAACATGTGTTTAGTGAATTGGAATCTTCTAAAGCACTTTTCGACTATTCTCCATTTCGATGTATTTCTCTTCGACATTTTTCGTTTCGACCTTGCTACGTTCAACCGAATAAACTGTTGAAAATATTGTTTTATTTTTTCTTAAACAAAAAAATAGAACAACAAATTTTGGAATTCTAAGCTATTTGTTTTCAAGAAAAATATATTAATATTAAAACTTTTGATCTATATTTCAATTTACTTCAATGTTTATTTTATTTTTGATTTCAATGGATATTTAAACATCTTTCATTATATAATTATTCTGTCAAGTTTTACAAGCAACTAATGAAAGAATCTCATCAAATGATATCCTATGTTTAAGCTGATATTTTGATCCTACGTAGGACTCATCATGCAAATTAAAACCCTAAAAGAGTTCGCACAATTAGACTCTTCTACACATGCCAAGTCTTTAAAAAAAAAGCTTATCGATTTGAGCTAAAACTTCGAGTTCTATAAGATCTATCATTGGAGAAGATGTTAGACACAAAATTCTTGTTGAAAGTGTTTTCGTAACATCTTCGAATATGTTGTAAATTCAGTAAAGTGACCATAACTCAAAAAAAAAACGGCCTAAAAGTACGAACCCAAGTTAGAATCTTCATTGATCCTATGCGTCCTATTCAAAAACAAAATTCGACTTCGAACAGGGTATATTAATTCAAGAGAATCATAGTCTCAGAAATCTGACGCTAATTAGTATTATAAGATTCTTCAAAGAGCTTACTACCTTATCAGTCATCACTATAAGATTATAGAAAATTTGATACAACAATAAGGTTTCACAAGAACTTCATACGTCGATTTAGTGTAAGATTTCTAATGCCACGTGATTTCTTGTGATCTTTTGACCTGCGTAACTTCTTTCGAAGAAAACTCCTATACAATCTCAAAGCTTTCTGTGCGAACGAGTACAAAATGATAATAATGTCATTAGCAATTTTCTATATGTTTATTTTCTTGGATGATATTTGTATATGTATAAGATCTTAATTATCAAAAAGAAACTATTTAACATTAAAATAATCGTTTTATTTATATAGAATAACTCTTGAGAAATATGATTTTTATAATATTTTGCTTCAAATTAATAAAAAAGAATATTTGTTTTTTTTTAGATCAAATTAACAATCAAAAACAACCCGATATTATTATCCATCCAATGACATTTTTACGAACATTGATTACATTTTCCCTTGGCGTTTATACTGGCGTATATACAAGTCAAAATTATGAAGTTCCAAAAGTTGATTCTCCTAAAGAACTCTATGAACGTTTAGCGGCATATGTATCTACATATAAGAAAAAAAGTGATTAGAAAAAAAAACTAAATACAAAAAAAATAATCGTTTTCCATCTTGTGTTCTATGTTTGTAATTAACCTTATTTTTCTTGTCTTCATCTTCTTTCTTGTTTTACCAATACGTACACATAATATATATATATATGCATATATGATTCCAGATTTATTTTTAAAGACAAAAAACAAAAGATAATGATAACGAGGTATTTCTTACGAAATTTTTCATCAATAACTCCTACATGTCATCATTTTATCCTTCGTCAATTGTCATCATTGGATCATAATCTATCAACAATTGAATATGAGAAAATAGCTAATGAAACATTAGAATCATTAACAGAAAAATTTGAAATAATACTTGAAAAACATAAATTATTAACTGATGTATTCTATTCAAATGGTGTTTTAACTGTTGATCTTAATAAATATGGTACTTATGTTATTAATAAACAAACACCAAATAAACAAATATGGTTATCATCACCATTTAGTGGACCTAAACGTTATGATTTTATAAATCAAACATGGATTTATACACATGATGGAATATCATTATATCAATTATTAAATAAAGAATTTTCAAATATATTTAAAAACGATAAAAATATTGATTTTGAGACATGTAGTTATGGAAAAAAATCATAATGATAGAGAAAAATAAAAAATTATTTCTATGCTATTCTCTTCGGTATTTTTTTTTTATTCATTTTATATTCAATGATTGATTGTTGTCTATTGTTGAAAGTTGGGAGAGAGAAAAAAAAAAAAATCTTGATTGAATTCTTCTATTTGACGACTCATCATTGAATATAGTAAGAATTTATCTTTCTTATCCGTTCAACTATGAATATAGAATGATGTGCGAATATGTGAATAAACTCTCGGAAACAGACTATATTCTATCGAGTTTTTTTTTTCTCTTCTTCTTTTATCGTATTTCCAAGCTTTCAACTCATTGTCTTTTGTCTAGTCGATCTGTGCAAACAAGTTCGAGAACATGAAACTTTATTACTATTGAAAAGATCTTGCTTTTCACAGATTCATACAAGAAGAAAATGTCATAATATGTGTATGTATGGTCTATATTCTATAGTCACTATAACCAGTTCGAGACTTTCCTGAAAAGAAAATGAGTATGAGAGCAAGAAATAAGAGAGAGAGAGAGAGAGAAAAAACTGTCGAGTCGTTAATAGGTTTTCCCTTTTTTCTCATTCTCTTTACAGAATAAGTCACGATCATGGCATTAGAAAGAAAAACCTATATGACGATAATGACAGTTAGCTAGTAAGAAAAGATTGGTTGCTCTCTATTCTTTCAATATTCTTTTTTTTCTCTGCAATATGTGTAAAAAAAAATAGAAAATAGAAGCAAACAACATTGGCCATATAGAAACGATGTAGGTCAAATGATCAAGGAATTGAATCGTACTATAGAGAAAGGGGAAAAGCTCGCGATGAGAAATATACAGAAAATGAAAAAAAAGGAAATAAAAACCATTTGGTGTAGCAATCATAAGACAAAGTTAGCCTATTTCCAATTGCTGCTAGCATTAAACACGCACATAATATATATATATATATATTTATCTACATACGAGACGTGACTTGTATATTCTACGAACAGGTAAAAAAAAAAAAAAGAGAAAAAAAAAATCTTTGCTCTATTGATGTTTATCTATTCTTATAATTCGATGAATGAATTTGATTTTATAAGAACTTTCAGTGATTATTAAGAATGAAAAGAGAAAATATAGACAAAAAAAAAACAGAAAGACATAGAAAGAGAAAGATTGCCTCATGTTGTTATTGTTACTGTTGTTGATGTTATAGAATAATATTACTTCATTGCACACGGCAGTAAAGACAATTAGCTCTACGATATTGGCCGGAACAGAAAAAAAGGAAATTCTACTCCGACAAACATAAATATATAATACATGTATAGAGATAGATAGTTGATTTTACCATCTTCTCGTTTTAACTTATGCATATTAAGACAGATACACATTTCTGGAAAATGCGAATCACAAGTCTGTCATCACTCTTGTCGACAGTTGGTTACTGCATCGTCTTCAAAAAGAAAAAAAAACGACAACATAGATAGATGGACGGATGGATGGATGAATTATTTGTGTGGGTGAGGACGTGTTATTTTGTACGATACGTTTTCTGTACTATATCCATATGAAATGTTTTTTAGTATTAAGCCTAGAGAGCATCCAAATGCCTCCAAGATTTCATAATCGATGTTGGTTGACTGGTTGCTTGAGTGAGATTGACAATGGCACACACGGGACACAATATGACAGGATAGCAAATTGTGGAATGAAAGAGAACACCGTCTAAACAATAGACATACCAATAGAAACGAAGAACGATTGTGGGTGTTAGTGTTGCGAAGAAAAGAATGCTATAAAAGAAAAAGAAAAACATACATGCTGTCATTTTGTGGCTGAACGGTAAAGTATGCAAGTTAACATTTTATGATGTTAGAATTGAAAATTTATTCTTAGCATAACCAATGAAAAAATTTACGTATACAATTTATTATATATATATATATGAAAAAGAAAAACAAATTCTAGAAAAAGAAAAAAAATGTTCATATCAATAGATCAATTTTTTTCATTGGGCTTTTCTTTTTGGTCTACGTTTATTTGATAATTAGAAAGTAAAGAAATTTAGTATTAATAAAATATTCAATGTTTATTTTTATTAATTATCTTTTGTTAAAAAAAAAACTATATATATATATATGCCCATCTATGCAAATATTCAAAACAATGATTGTACCAAAATATGGATTATATCATGAAAATTACTTTTCAATGACTTTTATTGTTTGATTAAATGCGTACATTAGTCATGAGGATGAGAGCAAGAGTAATGCTGTAGGCATTGTGTATTGTGCGTACTCTGTCCCTTTTCTTATTTCTTTATACAAAGTTGTCGATTTACACGATAAATATATTGGTTGGTGTGAATCGGAAATAGAACTTGTCATGCTGCTGATCATTCGTTCCCTTTCAGCTATTTTTGTTCTGTGTAATACACAAAGCATACTACTAGTATACAGTCTAATTTGACTATTGTTTATGTTTTGAAGAAAACAAGGCCATTTGGTATATAAGATAAAAAGTCATTGATAAATATGTATTAATTGAAAAAGAAAAAAAAGAAAATCTTTTTCTTTCTTTTGTTTTAATTATTAATTATTTTTAAAAATTTTAAAAAAGATAACATTCATATATAAGTGAGAAAAAGATAATAATATATATATATATATTATTATCATTCTTTTGTTAAAATGATTTTTTGGTCATAGAAAAAAAGAATTTTTAAAGGAGCAAGTGACGTCTGTCTTTTCTTGGTGTTGTGTCTCGATTTCAGCTTCCGAACCATTGCGTTTTCTCTTGAGTAGAATTATCGTTCTCGTCGTCATTGTAGTTTTCCCTTTCTCTCTCCCTCTTATTCGCTTTCTGAAGAAAGACGGATGATGAGAGTGAACGAGGCACGAGCGCGGCGAGCATAATGGAAGAGAAGAAGAGAGACAGAGACAGACAGACCGAAGGGAACGCAACGTCGACAAGAACGAACGAAGAACATGTCAAGGAGTTTGAAGGCTTGAGTGAGACGATGATGAAGGCGGCAGCAATGGTGAATGTGATGTTAGTCTCTAGAGAATATCCAATGATCGCGCTGAGCTATATAGCCTTTGCGTGTATGTATCTATATCTTTTGTTCGTATGTTATTGTTCTTATTGATATTTTTTGTTGTTCTCATATTTCTTTATTTTAAAAGTATTTTAATATGTTTGCACCTATTCAGAAACATTTATATGACCTTTGATATCCTATTATGATTCAATCAACTGATGAGAATTGTCTGTTTATGTCCAGTTTGAAAATGGCAACGAGAAAACGAGGAGATAGAATGAGGAAAGGGAAATAGGCCCAATGTCTGAAATAGATTAATCATAGAGACAGAGTACCAGAACGATCGGGCTTTTATGTCGGAGGAAAGAACGCCGCGGTAGCCTTCTTGTCTTTCTCTCTATTTCTCTCTTTTCCATGCGATGACGCGAAATGTTCGTTCATCGTCGTGCTCCTTCTTGTAGCAGCCAGTCAGTAAAGCAGTGTGTTTGCTGATAGGAAGCAACATTAACATCGACAGAAAAAAAGCAAGAGAATGACAGAGAAAAGGAGAAAAAAAAACGAAGAAAGAAAAGAAAACTCAGTCGTCGTGGCAGCTAGGACCACTAAACGGATAGAATGAAGAAGAAAAGGAGACAGAGCCAAGAGAGCGCAAAAGAAATAATAATAGAGCCGATAGAAGTAGAAGCAGTAACAGCGGTAGTGTTGGCTACAACAGAGAGAGAGAAAACGCGTTTCTGCAATTTGGCTCCCGTCGTGTGCAACGAAGACGACTATGTGTGCGTGTGTATATGTAGTAATTGAAGCTTGACTTGATGGTGATCAAATACATACACTCAGAAGAAAAAAAAAAGAGAGTTATTCAGATCTTTCTACCAATGTTATGCTTAAAGTTTTTGTTTGTTTCTAATTTCTTCTAGATAAGATATTCGATTGGAAACAATAGAATATATATACATACATACACACACACATATACATATATATATATATAATATAAACAAAACGTTGAGCGGTTCGATGACATCGGTGATTGCAGATGGATACTCAACAACAAGAAATTCTACAACAACAACAACAATTACAAATATTCACTTCCAAACCGATAAACGGTAAAATTAATATAATAAAAATTTCTATGGATACATTATTTTAATAGATAATTTTATTCTATTAATTAAATATTTTTTTCTCTAAATATCAAATACTTTCTTTAAGGAAAAGTGACAATAATAATAATAATAATAATAATAATAATAACTTGAAAATGATACAATTGTAATTATTATTAAGAAGAAAAAAACCCTCCTATATTAATAAGTCTTATAGTCACTATGTGGTGAATATTCACATCCTGAAGGCAAAGATTACCGGATACGTCTAATAACAAAATCCTATAGCTCTTCTTTTAAAATTGATTCTAGGCAATAATTTTCTTCGATATTTAGATAAAAGCTTTTTTTTTATTCTTCTTCTTCTTCTTTTTTTCTTGAATAAGATAAATTTTGTTTTTCTCTTTATCGTTATAAAGAAAACATCTTTTCTATTCTATCATGCGTTAATTAAATATTAAATAAATTAGTGACATCTATAAAGAAAAACTTTTCAAAAAAAGAAAAAGAAAAAAGTTTGTGACAGGAAACATATTTGCTCGAGATTTATTAGAATTATCTTTAAGAAAGTCTTTTACATTTTGATTTAATAAATTAAATAGAATAATATTGATATTCTTTTCTTTTTCTTCTTGTTTATAAAAAAAAAAAGCTCTAGTTTGTTTCTCTATTCTTTAGTTAATAAGATCCTATGTTGATGAACGTTTAGAATAGAATATATGAATTTTGTCACGAGATTTTCTCATTTATTTATAGAATGACATTTTTTCATCAATTAAACATAGAAAAAAAGAAAGATATGACAGACTTATTTTGAAAATCACGGATCATTTTTTTTTTCTTCTTCTATAATCAACTATTCGCTACATATTTAATTTAAGTAGATTGTGTAAGACTTTCTTAATTTAAAAATATTAGATTAAATTAAAATGATTCAATCCAATGCACTTTTTATTGACGAATTAAAATTAATGAATAGCATTTCCTTTAGATTATCTCTTCTGGATTAATGCTTGCTTAAGAAAAAAAAAAGAAATCTATAGCTTCGGGATACGTTTTTCTAAGTTAAGATAAAAAGAACGTGTCAAAAACTTCTTCGGGCATTTTAAATACTATCAAGTATATTTCTTCTTCTTTTTCTTTTTTCTGAATGTCTAGTAAATAAAAACAGTAAGATCTAACCCATGAATACTAATTGAAAAGACAACAAAAAAAAAACTATTTTATAATATTCATCGTTAGATGATACATTATTATTTTCGTAAGATCTTTATCAACAAAAAAAACTAAACTAAACAGATTAAATATTAAAACAAGTGTTTTCTTTTTTTTATCATATGACTTAATCTCATACGTATTTACTTGTGGTTTTTTTTTGTTATTCTTTAATAGGCTAACCATGCACAAGGCGGCATTGTGCCATGTCTGTGCTTCTCGTCACTGATGATGTTGACGATGATATTCGAAAATATTCTATAAATAATCAACAAGAATATATATATAAACAATTAAAAGAACTTGAATACGATTTATCATTATCAGTAAAAACATTTTCTTTTGTCGAATCTTCTATATCGATATTCGCTAAATCTAATAAATACTATCGACAACATCGCCGACGGCGTCGTTGTCGACCACAGCAATGTTTGGTGCAGCATTTGCTCACCTACATGCTAACATTGCTTATCCTAACCAATCATCTTCATTGGCCAGTTATATTTTTATCATTATCATCTATAAAAATCATGTCAACATACGCATCATCAACAACAACAACAACAACAACAATTGTAGTTAGATCAAATCAAACAATAACAAAACGTCCATTATTAACGCCGTCCACAACAAGAATTCTATTTGAAAAGGACGAACAACAATGTTTACCATTAAATAATACTTTACAAATCGAACGAATATGTTCAGAAACATGTCATACACGAAAAATGTCATTCAACAATATCAATCAATATTCAATTGATACATATTATTTACCATTTTGTTCAATTCCTGTAAATCAAACAATAGTCAAAGACAATTATTGTAATGAAACAACAGAAAATGAATGTCAACAAACATTAAAAAAAATATTACAAGACGATGAAGAAGCTCACAAAGCTTCAGAATTATTTGCTACTTATATGCAAGCAATAGATTCAGCATCAGTCGAAAATCGTTATTCAATTATACCTTCCGATTGTCAAGTAAATTTTTTGTTTTTTTTTTTTTTTTATATAAAATCAATTGAAATAATGTTTGTTTGTTTTTTTTTTGTTTTTAATTTTTTGTCTAGAAAGCTTATAAAACATGGGCTTGTTCAGTCAAAATTCCATATTATTATCAAAATCAACTTATACGACCTTGTCATACTATTTGTGATGAAGTTGAACGTGTTTGTCCTACATTTCGACCCAGTGATCGTGAACCATTATTTGCTGGACAACCATTATTTTTTTGTAATGGTAATAACAAGATTTCTTTTTTTTATTTAATGAAACTATGTCCTTATAGAAGAGTACTTCAATAAGAATTTCCGTTATAGATGACTTGACTATAGTATTTTATATATATATATATATATATTGATAATGATAATTTTAGAAATAATTGTTCAAAACAAAAAACGGATATTAATCATATATATTTATTTAATATTCTTATTTTTTCTTTTTCAGGAGGTATTGTAGGTAATAGTGATTATGGTGAACGACCATATTGTTTTGATACATGTCATCTATTTCATGGTTCACTTCAACGTCCATCTTCATTATTACCATCAATATCAAATAAAACTTCTTCTTCTTCTTCTTTTTCTATACCTTCAATAACAAAATTTGTTGAAGATCTTGTGACTACACCGCCATGTTTTGAAATCAAACCGTTACAGCCTTCTTCATTTGAACAAACAACATCATCATTAGTAATTGTCGACGAATCGATATTCGATAATATAAGTAATACATCTCTTTCTTCATCAGCTATAACTATCATATCGTCATCTTGGTCATCGTCTATTATTTTAACTTTTATTCTTCGTTTTTCAATGAAAATTCTTATATGACGACTGAGTTCTATTTTACTAGTCATAGATAGGTAATATATGTGTCAATATTAATCGAGCTGGTTCTCGATACAAAAAAATAATAATAATCGTATGGAAAGAGAAGAGAGAGGAGTATCCGATTGTGTGCACAAATCAAGTTCATATGTGTGTGTGCGTGTGTATTTGTTTGTTTTATTTCTATGTGTAATATTTTTTTTTGGTTTTTTCTTCTCTGCAATTTTTTTTCTTTCTTTTTTTTTTTTAATTTGTACTATTGGAATGCTATGCCATCACTGAATGACCTGCCACTCAACACTGTTGCTGCTGATAGATCTAGAGGGCGAAAAGGAAAAAAAATGAAAAAAAAAAAAAGAAATATTAATTGATACTGCATTATCATCTTTCAATTCTTTTTCTTTTTTTTTTTGGTGATATTTATCGAATAGAACATAAATTTAAGGTTAAAGTTCTTGTATAAGAACATTGTATGAGATATATCGGCATCTATCGAAAAAAAAAAACTATATAGAAACTTTATGAAGGATATGACAAGCATCATGATAGGTTATTTAGTATAACGACTCAATTCAATCATCTGATGATGATGATTCATTTACTTAAAAGTATATATACATATGATTATTATTTTTTTTGAAATTCAAGTACGTCATAAAGCAGAATTTCGTCACTGAGTTTTGTTTCTTTATTCAAATATAAAATAAATGATTTGTTTTCTTGTATTTTTTTTCTTTTCAGATATACATATATATATATAGACTAATCTAGAAATGACTTCAATCGTTAAAATTGACAAATCTAAAGAAAATGAAGATGTTTTTGAAAAAGCTCAACTTGGAGATATGATTCAATTTAATCGAGGTACTTATAGTCATTGGGCAATTTATGTTGGTAAATTAAATTTATTTTCATATATTTATGTTTGATAAATGTTCAAAATTTAGGTAATGGTTGTGTAATTCATAGATGGGGTGATCATGATGGTATTGGAAAATCAGTTGGTTTTTGGGGAAATTTATTGACGTTTTCTGGTACACAATTTGATAAAGCTACAATTCTTCAATCACATGTATCTGATGTACTTAAATTGGGTGGTAAAGCTCAAATTAATAATTATCTTGACAAAAAATACAAGTATGTTAAGAAAAGAAATTTATAAAATAAAATCGATTAGTTTTTCAACTAAAATGAATAGAAGAAATCTTTGTTACTATGTATTTATATCAAAGAATAGAAGATAAAAAGAAAAAACATCGGGTTTATGTGATATTAATTAAGATACTTTAAGAAGTTGTCTTCAGAAAAAATCCAATTTATCGATTTTCTGACTTATAGCTTGTTGGAGGAAGGAAAATAACTACTTTCGAATTGTATTATAGTTTATTGATTTTTTTGTCATAAGATTTAAAGATATTAGATAAGTTTTTTTTTCTAAATCTTCATACAGAAGAAAATAACGTTGTTTTTTTTGGTCAAAAAATGTCGATTTTTAAAGTCTTTCAAGCCTTTCTGTTGACGTTTGACAATGATGAACATAACTATCATGCATTACTAACGAGGGAGCATTCTCAGTTGTCACATCGCTTTTAAGTCGAACGTATGCGCATTATGTAGACCCTCACGATCTATGAATTCTCTGAAAAAAGTTCGTGCCGCTAGCTTATTATTGCCGAGATACTGCGTTTTTACTGTATGTTTAAGAAAGAAAGAGTCGTGGTTCCCCTCAGGAACACTGGAAAAACTGAATTTCGACTTGAAACTTTGCATAGATATAGGCCTCAACGAGAATACTTTATTGTGAAAGTTTCAGCTCTTTTCGCTGTTCCTATTCTAAGATACAGCTATCGTAAAATTGATCATATACACCAACAGATCCGATATTCTTATTTCAGATAAGAAGCAACTAAAAAATTTGAAACCTTCACAATAAACTATTCTCATTGAGGCTTGTCTACATGCAAAGTTTCAGATGGAAACTCAAAACTCACTTTTCCTGATGTTCCTGAGGGGGACCACGGCTTTTTCCTTACACATACAGTAAAAATGCTATATCTCAGCAGTAAGAAGCTAGCGGCACGAACTTTTTTCAGAGCATTCATAAATCATTAGGACCTACATGATGCCTTTACACTCGACTCAAAAGTGATGTGACAGTTGGGAATGTTCCCTCGTAAGTATAATAAGTGAATACAACACTTCGATACAAAAAAAATCATCTAATGAAGTAAAGTTATAAGAGGTCTGACGACTTACACGAACATTCACTTTTCACATGTTTATATGTGCTTTACTCAATGATTGATCAGAAAATAATCGAAAATTGTTTTTATATCAATTTTATAGAAAGAAAAGTCTTGAAATTTATTTATTGAAACTTAGTTTGTGTTGTTTCTTAAAATATGCATTATGATTTTGATGTTTCTATATTCATGTATATATGTGCACAATCATGAAGTTGAGCACTAATATTGCATTCTATTTTAATATTCTTAGAAATAAATAAACGTATACTTAGCAAAATTGATCGAATTTTAGATGAAGAAAAACACCAAGTGAATTTTGAATCACTTTTTTTTCTGTAGAAATTGAAATGATTTCTCTGTTTTGTTGCTAATTATGAAAGAAACTAAATCGTATAGTTTATCATATAAAATAAAAGTTTGAAAACCGTACTATCATTATGAAAGTATCTGCCAGATGTCGATTAACTTCAGTCGACTACCACTTCTATAGTTGATCAATGTGATTTTAGAAATAATTATTTTGACATTTCTTTTTTTAAACTTATATTCAACTATAATGAGAAAATAAAATTTAAATATCTAATATTTTATTTCTAGACCATTACCTGTTGAAATTATTCTTGATAAAGCTCGTCGTGCTCTCAATCAAGAAGGTTATAATTTAGTATATAGTAATTGTGAACATTTTGCCACAGAATGTCGTTATGGTCAACCTAATAGTCGTCAAGTAAGAAAATAATTTAGAATTGAAAAGTGAAGCTAACAAAAAAATATCATTTATTCTTTTTAGGTACAGATTGCTGTTGGAGCTTCAGCTATAACTGGAATGCTTGTAACAGGTGCAGCAGCGGTTGGAGCTGCATTTTTCATGCGAGGTTCTTCCGAAGACGAGAATAATGATAAAAATGTAAAAAACGTTCAAATTAAAACATAATTATGAATCATTGTTTATATTACATTTTATTCTTAACATGACACATACTCATATTTATGTTTTATCTTAAAAAAAAAAAAACTATTTTAAACTCATTTTCGAAGGCTTTAGTTTTTTTTTTTGATTTATTTATTTTTATTTTTTTTGGTGTTAAAAAGCAAATACGTGTAAATCTCATTTACACAAAAAGAAAAACTACTTTGATGTTTGTTTTTGTTAATGAATAAATGTGCTTTATATAGTCAAGAATATTAATATTGAATATCTGTTGATACTCATATTTCCTAAGATTATTGAATACTTTATTTTAGTGTCTTTGATTATAAAAAGATATTTTTTTTTGTCATGTTTGATTTAATGTGAAAACAAATATAAATTGTAGATTTATTACATGTGTCAAATATTTAACAAATGGCTTTTCATGATGAAGTTGAAATAGAAGGTAAATTTTTCGAAAAGAAAATAAGAGATTGTTTTTTTAGATTATTTGTATTATTTAGATTTTGAATATGATGAAGAATCTGAAACTTACTATTGGCCATGTCCATGTGGTGATAGATTTCAAATAACAAAAGTAAAAAAAAAGATTTAATTGAACAAAAAAAAAAGAAAAAGAAGAATCTTCTTTTTCCTTTTTTTTTGTTTTAGGAAGAACTTGAAAGTGGAGAAGATACTGCTCGATGTCCAAGTTGTTCACTTATTGTTCGTGTTATCTATGATAAAGTAATTAAACAAAATATATGAAATTCTTTCTAATCTTTATTTTTTTTTATTTTCTATAATTAGGAAGCATTCATGGAAAAAACATCAAATTTAAAACAAAAAACATCACCTATTACACAAAAACTCACGTGATTATTGAAAATTTATGACTATTTTGTTTTGTTTTTTAATTTTATGTTATTATTGCACAGCATATTTTGATTTCTTTAATACATTAAAAGAAATAACTTGTTAACATATGCTTTGTGCATACAAAAATTAATATAAAAACAATATTTTCATTCATTTTCTAGGGGACGAAAAGAAAATGTGTACAATAAAGAACGGATAATAACAATCAACATATTAGTAATACACATAATCATCTCGAAGTATTTTTTTTTTGAAATAACTACGTATACATTTATAAATATATATATATATATGACTGAAAAAGATGTTTCTAATGTTAATGTTAATTTTGTTGTTATTTGGTTAGATAAAGATGTTAATAAAAGACAAGAAAATGAAGATACAAGAGCACTTTTACGTCTTGCTGTTGGAAATCAATTAAAAACATTTGATAATCCTGATCAATGTATTGATTATATGACAACTGAACAAATGAAATTAGTATTTCTTATAATTTCAAATGCATATGGTCATTATCTCGTACCAATGATATATCAGATACCACAAATTCAAACCATATATATTTTTTGTGTTAAACGACAATTAGCAGAAAAATGGGCTAAAGAAGATTTTAAAATTTCTGGTATATTTACAGATAAAAAAATTTTAGTTGATAAAGTTCGTGATGATATACAAGCATGTAATAGAGATAGTCATATACCAATGAGTATATTTCATATGGATGATCGTCAAAAAATAATACGTGATTTACAAGAAGATAGTGCAAAATTTATGTGGTATCAATTATTAATTATTGTTTTACAACGTTTACCAACATCAAAATATTCAAAAGATGAAATGATTTCTGAATGTCGAGTGGTTTATCATAAAGATCCAATTGAACAAGATAAAATAAATAAATATGAAAAAGAATATATTGAATCAAATGCTATTTGGTGGTATACATATGATTGTTTTATATATCGTTTATTAAATAAAGCATTACGTACACAAAATATTGATGTTATATTTCGTTTTCGATTTTTTATTCATGATCTTAATAATCAAATTAAACAACTCTATTTAGAATATTTACAAAATCATCGTCCTATATCAGAACATCGTTTAATTGTTTATCGTGGTCAACATTTAAGTATTGATGAACTTAATATACTTCAACGTAATATTAATGGACTTGTATCAATGAATACATTCCTTAGTGCAACATTAAATATAGATATAGCACTTATTTATGCAGAGACTGATCCTAAATGTGCAGAAACATCACAAATACAATCCGTTCTTTTTATTATTGATATATTTAATATGAGTGAAGAGACAACAGCATTTGCTCCTATTGCACGTAATTCTTGTAATGCTGAAGAAGAAGAAGTTCTTTTTACAATTGGAGCTATTTTTAAAGTTATATCTGTTGAAAGAAAAGAAAATCGATGGGATATTCATTTACAATTAAGTAAAGAAGAAAATAAACTCTATCGAGATCTTTCACATCATATTATAAAACAAATTGGATCTGAAGTTAATTCATTAACACTTGGATGGTTTTTATATCGAATGAGTGATTATAGTAGAGCTGAACGTTATGCTCAATCATTACTCAAACAACTTTCAAATAATGATAAAGAAACTGGAAATACTTATAATCTATTAGGTTTAATTCATAAGGAGACAGGTCATCTAGTACAAGCTATTGATTATTATAAGAAAGCACTTGAAAATTATACTTATACTAGACCACCTAATAGTCCTCAAGTTATTGCTACTCATTATAATCTTGGTTTAGCTTATCTAGCACTAGGAAATAAAGAACTAGCGACTGAACATCAAGCAAAAGCTAAAGAACAATTAATTAATTCTTCACAAACAGATAAATCATTACTTGCAGTTATGACTGATGGTCTCAAAGCTAAATTGGATATAGCAGATGGAAATTATACTCGTGCTTTTAAAAGTTTTGAAGAAGTATTAGAAAGAAAAAAAAATACATTACCATCAGGACATCCATCATTTGCATCAACTTTAAAAGAAATGGGTATTATACAAGATAAAATGAATAATCATAAAAAAGCACTTGAATATTTTAATGAAGCATTGGATATTTGTCGTAAATGTTTAACAGAATATAATACTGATGTAGCAGATTGTCATGAAAAAATTGCTCATATACATTATAAACGTAAAGAATATTCAATTGCATTAAAACACTTTGAAAAAGCTTTAGATATTATCATATATATATCAAGAGAGGATATTGATCATGTAGAAGATATACAAAAATGGATTACAAAGACACAAAAAATGATGAATCATCAGAAAAAAAACTAATTATATTTTTTTTTATTTTATTAGACTATAATAAAATTGATATTCTTGTAGAAATATCAAGAGTTGCAATTTATTAAATTAATAAATGGATGCACTTTAAAGATTTTTTTTTTTGTTACAAAAAACAAAAGAAGAAGTTACATTTATTGAGAAAAGATAAATCTATTTTTGATATAATGAGAACAGAAGTTATCCTATCTCATAATTTTGAAAACTTTTCGTTTTTCTTCAACAGAATTTCAGTGTTGTATGATTTTATTTTCTCATACTTAATCCCCAAAAATAAAGTTCAATGGTTCCTTTTAAAATCCACTTTTCATTGAGAAGATTTTAATAAAAGTCTATAAATAGTTTCTATTAAAACTTTAGTCAGAGCTTAGACTTTTTTTAATCGTTTATTTTTTTATTTATCAATCTAAAATAGAATATAATTTAAAGCTTACAACATTGGTAAAATTGATTAACATCTATAGGAAAAATCTGTACCAAAAAAAAAAAAGTTAACCATATAATCATATTATTAAGTTATGATTTGCATTCTAACAATGATAAAATTATTAATCACAATAGTAAAATTTATTATAATGATAGAAATTTTTCATATTACGTTATGTGATGCATCAACAGATATATTCAAATAAATTAAAATGATTTTCATTTTAGTAATAACGTCTGAGAAGATACTATATAAACATAGTGTATTTGATCATCATAAATGAATTAAATATTTAAAACGCTTTCAGATAACATGATTAGAAACAGTATAATAGTAGATAAGAGATTGTTCTTGATAATTTAATAATTACCTATTTCATACATCGATTGATAGCTCTTATCATATTGTATGTAACATTACGTATATGAATATCATTGATTAAAAATATTTTTGTATATTTCATTTCATTATTATCATTAGAGTCTAGATTGTAGTAGTATAGTATCTTTGATCCTATCACTTTTTCAGCAAAATAAACCAATTTTATTAATGGAATTCCATTTTTTTTTTTTTTGTATAAATATTTTATTTTCATACTTAATCAATATATTTAATAGTCACTATTATCAAAAGACAAGATTATTCAATATGTCTTATTTCTAAGCAAGGAGTCTCTTGAAAATAGAAGCACTTATTCACAACGACATTATACTCATTCATAATCAATATATGACAACAGGCTATAAGATGATTCTATCTTTGAATATGACATCTTGCCAAAGTCTTTTTAGGCCAAACATTGCCAGTAGATGGTTAATATCTGATCATATATGATCGTTATAATAGTCTAATTAAAAACTATATATATATATAAATATTCATCATTACTTTAATGAAATAATTATATACAATAGTGCTTTCTTAAGAAGTTCCTCAGTAAAAGATAAAAGACAATAATTCTATAGTTTAAATTAATCATACAAGGTATTAAATAAGTTTTTCAATGAATAGTTTTCGAATTAAAATTTTTTTGAAATATTTTGATAATTCTATATTTCAATCTATAGATTTATCTTCATATGCCAATTTTGATTGCTAATTAATTGCTAACAAAAGATCATCAAATAGGTTCTGTTCACAAGGAAGTATTATTAACAAAAAATATATCTTTTCTAATTCATAATCAGGTAGAAATACAATTCATCATTCTCACATAGTACTACTGGCATCAAGAAATCGATCAATTTTTGTGATATTTCAATACGAAAAAAAAAAACATATTTTGAATATAAATATAAATATTATTCTAAATTCAACATAAGAATCTTTATTTTTTCATTAATAAACTCATTATGATTAAATTAATACAAATTTATCTCTAGTGCTGTTCATCTACATTAGAAAATGAAAAATCAAAGAATAATAACATTAAATCTTTATATTGATGAGCACTAATGTTTTCATTAAAGTCTAACATGAGTTTTCATCTAAAAGAATATTATGTTTAAAAACACAATTATATTTTGATGAAACTTTAAAGAAACATCTCAAAAAAAAACGAATGTAACTCGTTCATTCATTAATTTGAATTTGATAGATCAAGTACTAATGATTCTATCGATCATATGATTTACTAAATTATAGTGGATGTGTGATAACGAACGTTATTGTATCTTTCTTTTATATATTAGATTTGATCATTAAAAAAAAACATATGTTTGATTTTTACATACAATGAAGTTTTTATAATTCTGAGCATTTTTGATCCTAAGAATTTTGTTTGATAAAAATTATAATAAATCTTTTAATGCCCAAGAGATTAATTTATAAAATATATCCATCATATATCTAAGATCTTTTGTTATGTATTGCCTATTATTAATTAAATGTATTCACATTGTTTGAGGTTTGATAACTAATATTTTAGTGAAATTCCAAACTTATTATCTGTTACAGATATGAAAACATTATGATAATGATGAAACGTAAATAAAACATGAAGAAAATAAGATTCCATATTTTTGATTATGTTTTTATTCTTTCGCAATAAGATCATAAGTTAACAAATGTTCTATCTCGAAATGAAAATTAAGAATCACTTGAAATGCACTAAATATATTAATATATAACACGTTTTAGATCGAAAATATTTTTCATATGAATAATATTCATTCAAGAAACAATATGATTTATTGTTCTTACTGGTTATTACATACATGTTTTATATACATGTAAACATAAACCATTCTCTTGTCTTTCGTATTAAAAAAGAAAAAAACTATCATTTAATGACAACAAGTATAAACATTAAGGTAAAAAAAAAGAACTAAAGCCACACGCGAGCAATTATAAATAACGTAATAGTAGAAAAAATTTGCCTACTTGAAGCATGATAGAATATAGATCTGGTCTTGGAGTAAAACCGTGGACCCCTTGGAAACCAAAGGCATTGGTGATAACCGTTGGTATTGCTGCTGGTCTTGGTGTCCTAGGCTTAGCATTAGGTTTAGGATTGGGTATTGGACTAAACAATAGTAGTCAAAATTTGGTTTTGACTATAACTATAACAACTACAGTAAATACAACAACTAGTACAACAACAACAACAACTACTACTACAACACGTACAAGAACAACAAGAACAAGATCAACATCAACAATAATGACAACAACAATTGTAACAACTATTGCAACAACAATTGCACCCACAGTTGCAACAACAATTGCACCCACAGTTGCAACAACAATAATACCAACAACAACAATTGCATCAACATTTGCAAGAACTGCAGCTGTGGGATAATAAATCTGTACCATTATGAATCATAACAATCAGTTATCAAGAACGAGTTTGTAATGCTCAAGAAGAGTGTTGCATATTGGACAGTTGATTAATTGATGTTTCTGTTGTCATTATAATCATTTTCATTGTATCAGGTCTTGTTTAACTAATCATTGTGTGTATTAGAATTTTTTCATAAAATTTCCGTTTATTTTCATTTTTTTCAATTCTATAGAACATTTTTGTTTATAGAATCGCAAGATTAAAGCTTAGATATCTTAAAAAATACATCTTATCAAGAATATTTCAGAGAAGTTTTTAATGAAAATGTTCTACTGGCATGTACTGGTTATATGTGCGTTTAGACAATAAGAAATTGTAATGCGCATATTCGAATTCGTATCAATTGTTTTGACGAAAATACATTGATACAGATAATAATAATTATAATAACATATTTTTGAAAATATTAACAAAGAAAGAAAATTATCGAAGGTAGAACAAATAAATTAGTTGGTTTTATATTTGAATATCATTTCAAATATTATTTCATTTCAAATTTCTTATTTCATCAAGAAAACGATCAGCATATTTTTTTTTAATTACTCTCTCTTTATTATTATACTAGAAATTTCTTAAAAGGATGAATATCGTAAACATTCACAGCTACTTGATTCATACGACCATGAGCGATATAAGTGCAAAACAAAAACACAATATATATATATGTATCAAAAACAATCGTTAATCATGAAGAAGAGACGAAAATAAATCTAGTAATTGGAAAGAGAAAAGACAAAGAAAAAAATATCATGGCTATATGACGAAATAAGTAGAGAAAACAAACTAAGGAAATAACAACGTAAATAATTACATGATCGATTTCACATGTATAAATATCCAAGCCATAAAAGAAGCAGTGATTCATGACTTGTGCGCATAAGACTGACTAATTGGTTTCGAAAAAAAAAACACAAGGATTATCATATTTACTCTTATTATAGATGCATCCTAGTAAAATAACGTACGATACAAAAGTAATGCGACAAATGTCGGACCCTATTTCTCTTCAATAGAAAAGTACTGAACAGAAAATGTTTTGCTAAAAGACAGAACTTTTTCTTCTCTTTCGAATCATGTATAATTTTCTATTGTCATCCGTTCTTAAACGAAATGATACACAAGAAAAGAGGAACGCCCTTAAAAAGCATCCATACTTTTTGTGAGATACAAAAATCATAGTGTAAAATATTATTTTCTATAAATCTTTTACAAACACGTTTTGTAACAAATACTTTTTAATTAATTGATAGGATATTGTCTCGTCTTTCGATTAGTATATGATTTATATTGTTCATACACTCGTACATGAAAAGGAACAAGTAAAAAACGAGAAACCTGAGTGAAATAAATTTCTAATTTTTATATGAACTCATCAAAAACATCTTATTAGATGACACTTAGTGCGATCTTTGTGGATTCATTTAAAAGATCTTGTCAAACTGTATTTTCTTCGACTTTTATGAACTCGTTAAAAACATCTTGTAAAACAACAGTTCGTTGTAATCAATCATTGTTTAAAAGGTTCTTTTAATGAATTTATTTAAAAATTGTAATTTTATTGTACAAGTGTTTCTCTTCTTTCTTGTCTCGTTTCACTTAGGAATATTTGACAAATATGAATCATACACTGTTCGAAAGAAAAAAAATCTTCTATTAACTAATAAAGAAAATATTCCCTTCCGAACCTATTTATCAAACAAATATAAGAATCGATATTTCGTGCGTCTTTTTATAGAAAAGTGCGGATGCTTTTTTAAGAGTGCTTCTCTTTTCGGTTTCGCTCATGAGTGAAATATAAAAAGAAGTTATATACGATTTGAAAGAGGAAAAAATACTCTCTTTTTTAATAAAACCTTTTTCGTTCAACATCTTTCTATTGAAAAGAAATAGGGTTCGACATATGTCCATTGCTTGTGTACCGTATGTTATATTCTTGTAAAAGTGTAAATGATCGAAATCTGTTTTTTTTTCAATTAGATCTAATGTTTTCTTGGTTTATCATTTGATTTACTCTTCTACGGACTCTTTATTTATTATTTAGAGAAGTTCTATAATTCGAGCACAGAAGACAGTGATAATTCAATTCGAAACTCATTTCTAAATTATCTTAGAAGTAATTCTTCTTGAGTTTTGGTTAGAAATGAATATAAAGGAAATCTGCAAGTAAAATATGGAAAACTGTAAGCCCGAATATATCTTTGTAAGACATCTTTTGATATGAGTTCTACTATCTTTCATCTATCTTAATTTATAAAATATTGTATGAATGCTTGAAAAAGTTTTAAGCATTGCTGATTTCAAAGATATCTTATTCGCCTAAGTAGAAGTTAGATATTTAAATTCTTTAATGACATCTATTCTTTAATCCTTCATATAGATATCAACTACTGAATCTTGTACTTGTGACTGAAAAACCTGCACTAATGTTTTGGACACTGTCATTGATTATTTTCGCCTTCTGAAATAAGTTTCTTTTTTTCGCGTATTCTTGTTCCTTCTTCAAAAAACTTAATCATATGCTTAATTCTTTGGCATATTAATGAAGATATGAGTATTTTGAGATTATCAACAAATATATGACTAGAATAAGCATTTATACATACAACAAGATCATAATGAAACATAACAAATAGATATAGGCTCAAAACACTGCATTGAGACAACTTCAGCATGAATTAAAAATATTTGTAATTTATTTTTTTGAAAAATAATATATGCATGACAATCATTTAGTTCTGAAATAATTAATGTCGATAGTTGAAGAGCTATATCGATTGTATAGAACTTAACAACAAATCCATTGTGTCAAATTATATCGTATACCTTTTAATAGCTAACATAAACTGCTAGTGTTGAAATATTAGTCATAATATTATTTTTTTATTTTTTCATAAACATAGATATGACTCTAATAAGAACAGAACAATCTGGACGACAATCTGGCTGTTCAACTAGAAACAAATTATTAATGTCTGCCTAATGTATGACTCTATCTAGTATAATTTTTTCGAATAGATTTTAATATTTTACTAAACGAGGCATTGATCGTGTTTAATTACAACAAGGTACTCCCCTACTTTTATTATATTCAACTTAATTATTTTCGATAATTTCAAAATATCAGGCTACTGGTAATTGTTTAGCCTAGTATTAAAACAATTTGCTATACAATTAGTATAACTCAATGGAATTTGTTTGATCATAAAATAAGATACTTCGCCCAAACTAAGTGAGTTTTTTTTTGTATTTAACTTTGATCTATGTTTCTTTATTTCTATAACATTGATCATTTTCAATCTTTTCACTTAGCATCGTTAGTCAATTGATCGATTCTAAATATTCTGCTTTGAATTAATATTGATGAAGATATAACATATTCGTACTTTTTTCTTTGAACCGTTGTAAGCAGTATCCATCAAGCTCATCCATGATTTCGTTGTCTTTTGATCAATAATGTTTCACTAGTATCCAATTTCGTAAAAGATATTGATCTATGTTTACATATCTGACGGATATTTAATTCAACTACTCTATCTGTGTTGCTCTGTGTTTCTTGACTTTTGAACAGAAAATCCTGCCATTTATATCTTAGTCATTTCCATTTTTACTTCTCATGTTAATACGCGTGATAGGACTCTTAACTCTTCGTTTATAATGAAATTTTTTTTTCTTCGATTTATACTAGTTTTTCACTGGTTTCAATTCTTTTAGTTTCTACATAAGATAAAGGAGCAGTCAGGTCGTCATTTTTCTCATTCTTTCAATTGTGTAAGCCTGTTTTCTAAAGTATCAAGAGAGCACATATTATTCATTTAAAATTCATGCTCTTGTATCCTTCTATTATGCTTCTTCATCCAAAATTCTTCTAAAAACCTGAAAAAAGTCTCATACATCTTCCAAATAATACGAAAAGATATTTCATTCTTAACTAAACTCTCAGTTTATCAAGCTATTATTCCTGTTCAATGGTAACTGATATCTATTTTCAGAGTCTCTCATATTGTTCCTTCCATATTTAAAAATGTTAAATCAAATTTTTTATTGGAACGTTTTGAAAAGTAGAATGTTCATAAAATATATCAAAAATTGTTTTTTCCTGATTATTCATTCAAGCTTCTATTTCTTTAATTTGACTACGTACTTCCCCATTCTGCTATCGTTGCGTTAAAAACACTAATAATCATTGTATCTTCAATTATATATGACTCTAGTTCTTCTAAAATTCTGTTCTGATCTGCCATATATGAAACAATGATTATTCGAATTGTTCTAGAGAAACCATTAACATCATTTATAACTGTATTTTCAACATTAAAATCTATTCTCGATCTTTTCAAAATGTTTGCACATCGTTACACACACACCTACGTTTTTTTTAGTTTCGTCTTGATGAAAGATGTTGAAATGATATTTTCGAGATCTATGCCACAGTTCATCAACTTCAATAAAAAAAAAAAATGGATAAAGGGATATACTTTATAAACAATATCAATTACTGCTAAACATATAGGAACACATCCTTCAACGTGAGAGCAGAGAACATTGAGTACAACATGTCGATTGATTCCTGGTGCGGAAGGCAGTAATAATCCAAAATGTATTTTCAATGGATATTCAACTTAATTTTAGCATTGAATTATATTCATGCAGATCTTTAAATAATAAATCGAAAATCATTGGTTCTTCGTTAAAAGGGATATTGAATATGCTTAACATTTTCCGCTTATTGGAGATTTCGTTCAATATCCTCTTTTACATATCCTGTCGTGAAACATTGGAGAGATATGTAACGGATGACAAGTGCAAAAGAATCAGGATTATATCTCGACTCAATCGCAATGCTATTGATATTATTGACACATGATGACTGTTTCGTACGACGCATTGTTGTTTATAGCTACTTTTAATTTAGTACCCGCATGATTCATGAGAGAGAAGGTGATCGAGATTTCTTGTTG